AGATGCGCCAAGTCACGACTCAAAAGTGAATGATCACCGGGGAATGTTTCCTTGTGAGAACTTTTCCAACTATGTCGATTAACTAGGGTCAACCAGCGCTACAAGATCATAGGACACGGAGGAGAAAAGGATTCCTCTCCGTTCGGGCATGAGGCGCAAAGAGTCAAAGGGTGCACCGCAGCTCACAGCAACTGTAGAGAGACTTGTTTTTCTGCGCTTCCCTTCTAAAGTCCAATTGTTCCTCGAAGATTTGCAGATTTATTTTCAATACCTTAACCTACGGCCCTCAGATTGGTATAGACACTGTCGGTTCGCTTTCACTTTCGACCTTACCCATAGAAGGCTATAATCACGTGGCCAAGCCTATCTGATAAATTTGCGTTAACACGTACTGTCATGTACTGACTCTACTTTATATCCCAAAACCTAGAATCGGTTAACTTGTACTAGCATGTTTTGATCTACAGTGTGGTGTATAATTATAAGACCACAACAAAAGACGTAGAAAAAAGAAGAACGAAAGTAACAATCAATATTTGGTTTCTGCTCCATTTAACTTAATCATCTCAAATAATCTATCTGGCATCGAATGAACTAAATTCCAAAGCTGATCAGCACTTATTTCTTCCCATGATTTTAATACAGCAGTTTTTAACTACTCTTTGGTTCGAAATTGTTTGCATCCTGCAAAAACCTTTCTTGCTAGTATTCCCCCACATATTTTCGATAGGGCTTAAGTCAGTAGATAATGGTGGCCAGGGTAAAAATTTGGTTTTTTAGACTTGACCCAAGCGATATTGACCTTCGCCCGATGAACAGCAGCATTATCTCGCTGAAAAAAATCCAATCAGATTCACCAATATTGGGACCAATGTTGACTAGATGATTCTTTAGCACATCGTGATATCCCTTTGAATTCATTCGCCCGTTAATAAAGCATATTGAGCTTTTACCACCCCAACCAAAAGATGCCCAAATCATAACACTCCCATCACCTTGAGTCCGAAATGAAAAAATTTCTTCCTCTTTATGCAGATCATGCCAGTAGTAAGGAAAGCCATCAGGACCATCAAGATTAAATTTCTTCTCGTCCGACCACACAACTTTACGCCATTCTTCATTCCAGAACATATGATCTTTAGCTCATTGTAATCGTAATTCTTTGTGTGACTTTGTTAAAAGTGGAGAACGCTTCTTTTTCTTTTTTCTTCAAGATTTTTTACTTTTTGATAACCCGATTTATGGTCCATCTTGACAGTTTCAAGTTTAAATCGTGAATAATATCGGCACAAGATATTGATTTGTTACTAGCAGTTCTTAAAATATGTCGTTTAGTGCGTTCTTCAACCTTTCTTCTACGACCAGTTCGTTTTATTAATCCATACTTAAGTGGATCTTTCAAAAAATTTGTTGCCACGGTTTTGGATTGATTGATTTCTCGATACGGATAGTTTTCCTTCTGCAAGTCTAGAATACGTCTTTTCTCGTCTTCAGTCAGTTGTATTGCTTTAGGCATTTCTCTATTTGTATCCAGGTGCCAATTTAGTATGCTTGTTTACGAAAATGTCGCTGAGAAAAGAAGTATTATAATAAATATACCACGCGGTCTTATATTTATGCATAAAAAAAACAGAGAAAGTTCTATATATAAAAAGGAAAGCCAAAGGATATGTGCTCGAAAATTTTATATATATATTCTTGTCATTCACCTGTACTAATTGACTAAGTATCATATTCATTTGATTTATCTTATTGGTAAAACAAGTGACCTCATAATTATGCACCACACTGTAACTTTGTTGGTAAAGCATTTAAAATCGATTGCTGCTTAGCTAGATTCAGTAAGTTCATATCCTAGATGTTTGCACTACGCTGCCTCAGAGAACACCACATTAGTATATCATTCGGATCTTTCGTTGCATCCATATCATATCACGTCGAGACGCTGAGAAGAACTAGAGTATTTCAAATGAAAAACTAAAGCATCCCATTTCTCCATCTTGCTCGCTCTCATCTGCGAATGCGATTGATGCTGAACTGCACAGATATCCTCATTTTACTATCTTGCTCGTTCTTTCATGCAGATGCTGCTGATGATGAGCGCTCAGACAACCTCAAGACGCTTCAAATTTTCCTTGTACGCCCAGATTTTGAGTCTATCGACCTTTTCTACAGAATAAATTCAAGCAACAGTTCGCAAAAGCTTATGTGGAAATCCAAATCCGCATTCAAGTTGCCTAAGACCTTAAACTGTAGGATAAACTTTCTTGTTAGCATAAAGCTTGCTTGTGAACATTTTAGTGTATCTCCAGTCGATCACACAGAGATATGTATTCGATACAGATGATGTTCGTGCTTCGAGTCTGCTTTTTTCGCGCCGAAGATGTTAACTGCAGACAACTGCCATCTGGGTCTTCCTACATATCAGTAACCAATAACTGATTCTGTATTTTCCAGACCCAAAGTAGCTCCAATACATGATTAGAAAAGCTCATCAGCGTAATCCCTTTGGGGCTGAAATGTGGAACTCATGTGCTCGTGTTTTCAGAATGAAACTATGAATAAGAATAGAACATTTATAAATTAAACTTATTTTTAGAACCCGTGCACTCAAGCTCGCGATGTTTGTACTAGTCACACAGGATGTAGTCAGTTGATTCGATTAAAGAAGTCAATCTACGGTTGATTGTTGAGTTTAATAAGGAAATGCTAGCCGAAAAAACGTTTAAAGTTTTTTATAAGGTGAGATTTTCCTGAATACAATGCGCGTTGAGTCTTTTCCTCATGAATTGAATAATAAAGAATAAAATTCACGCAGTAGAGCGCACATAAATGAAGTTGAATTTGAAAAGGAAAGATTCTCGGTCTGATAACAAATAATACAATTTTGAACATGTTGATAACAATTCTTCATGTGCTGTATCCTCAATCCTCTCTACATTCAAAGTACTCGTGACATTCCCTAGAATCTCTTAGCGGCTATAGCCCTTAGCACTTACAGCTGGGACACCTGTACATGATCTTAGGGTGAGGGAAGATCATAGAATTTCTCGACTTAAAACTTACACTCACTTATTTTTCTTGGAAAAACAATGTGAGTTCCACAAAAGTCAGGAGATGAGAAGTGAGGTCAGTGCGAGCTGAAGTGTGTCAGGTTTTTCAGTGGAAAGTTGAGCCTGTACTTGAGAAGAAAGGTTCTATCTGGATAAGAAATAGGAGTACAAATTTTACTGGTATTCGCGCAACCCTCGCAAAACCTATTGTTTTGGGCATTCAAAAATGTCCACTTTGTAGAGGTTCAGATGCAATAAAAAGTAGTCCATCGAACCCTAACGTGTCTACTACGGGGGAATACCCATTATAGAATGTCTACTGTGAGAGATTTTACTGTAGCATTAAATGCCTGATTATTTCTAAACAAGCACATAAAAGATTTCTATTAAATGGTCCCTTTGCTTAGTCGAATGAATAAATAATATTCTCAAGGCCGAAAATAGCTTCTTTTAAAGCTGTGAGATTTCTTTAAGTTTCGATGTATTTCCATAGGATTTTAATTAGTTCTAGTGATTCAGAAATGTACTATCACCAGAAATCTTCTTCATTTTACATGAGAATTCTTATTTATGGGAACGAATTATGGTGCGGTTGAAACTATGATGTTTTTAAAGATTTAGAAGGGCTTCAATAGTTCAAAAAAAGATTCTAAAGAGCTCTGATGGATGCCGATATCCAGAATCATCGATTTTCTCGCTCAAATTTTGAGAGTCCTACATTATTTAGGCGGATTCTAGCCATTCTATATGATTGACTTGATTATACCGTATTCTAATGTACGCTCAGTCACATTGATGTGGCTCTGTTGACTGTAAAGCCATATAATTAGCTATTTTGTCGTCTTGAATATTCGTATATATGATTTTATAGATGTGGTAGTAACCGGACTCGATGTCTCTTGAAAAAAGGATTCATTATAAGTGCTCAGATAGCGTTTTAATTATCATTAGATCTTATTGTTTAGAACATGACATATTTGGATACTAATTCAATCAGTGAACTAATTTCGAAACTATTTAAGTAAGTACATTTCATCTTTAGTACAAAAGAGCGTGTTAATAATTATCCAATTGCTTTATAGCAACATTTCAAAGATTGAATTGGGTATTAATATGGATTTTCTAATATATATTGCGATTGTAATCACCATGGTCGGCAGTGTAGTTGTTTCATTCGTTATTAACTGGAAGTTATCATTTATTCTCTCGTGCCTTTCACCTGTGGTTGCTATTGCTTCCGTGATCTTTGCCCGAGTAGGAATCTATCAATTTAAATTAGTTAATTTTAGTAGCTCAATTATTGCAGGTAATCAGTACTGAGACAGTTAATGAATTAGCAACATATACCAGTGCTGGAAAGATCGTTCAAGAAGTGTTCAGTTCATTGCGAACTGTCTATTCACTGAATGGTGCTCAATTTGAGCAGAAAAGGTAATTATATACGCAGGCAAGCATGGCCTACATTTTTAAAGAACCATTTAGCGTAACTCCTTCAGACTTAAAAATATTGAAGGCGATGAGGGTGAGCATTCTTTTAACACATAAGATTGCATGAGCATAATGCGATGACATTTTAGCCGTACCTCGTTTGATCTTTCTCAAGGGCAGCATCAACTAGATAGTTCATTTTTTATTGAAATTTGTATCTACGTTAGCCCCATATCTTCTAAAAAGATCTGCTTTCTAAAGAGAATCGTTCAATAATAAACGCGAAAATGAATGACGTGATACGATGGCAAAAAAAGTACCATAGACATAAGGGTCTTCTATTTTCTTCTTATTTTTTTTGCGAAGCTGTACCTCATATATGAAAACGGTCAGCATTAGATTTGTAGCCAACAGTTTAATGCATCTGATGGAGGACGAAATATTTCCTAAATCCTTCGAATTTTCAAGCGGCACCGTTTGCATTAAGGTAACGCGATCACACTTGATTTTCTTAAAAGAGTTTATTCTGACATTTTCTCCTAATTCCCTCGACTGTAGAGAGGGTCATATGAAATAAAATAGTTTGTCTGTCTATTTGTGCCAGGGTCAAAGGTCGAAAAAACATTTTCCCCCTCAAAATCATTCAGCACATTGAAAACTTCTATTGTACTGACGGTAGAACGAGTGCGGGTTAAGGGGGAGAGGGTCTAGAATGAAGCCATGAGTGGGTGTATGAGCGTGGGTGGGGGCCTTGGGTCAACACATTGGTGGATGAATGGGTGTGAGTGTGGGTCTTAGGCGAAACTATGGGCGGATGGATGAAAGTAAGTCGTTGATTGGTTCTTTTGGGGTTGGTGTCTGGACATAGGTGATTGGAATCGATGATCGGCGAATCTGTTCCCTGAGTTCAGGATTTTATGTAGGTTAGGTGTTCAGTTCTTGTCGATTTGTTCATAATGGAATATGAAGGTTATGCTGGGTTGGGATGGCTGGGACTAGTGTCAGAAGACAGTTGAAGTCGCTAGTATGTTCCAACTTTTATGCGACTGCAACTGATCTTAGGAGTAATAAAAGAGCGACAAACAAGCGTATGTATCACTGTAGCTAAATTCACTAAAGGCGAAAATACAGATATCAAAAGATACGTTTTCTAGAATCAGACGTGTCAAATGTAATCCTAATCCATTGAGTTAAACCTATTGAATATATGGGAATTTGAGAAAGACAAAGAAATACAACTTCTGCGAGTAAGCGATGAGTATTGTTGGTGTTCGTAGTAAATTTGGATTAACAGTAAAAATATTCTTTTTTGATTGAGTGTTTGTTCCAGTTGAATTCATAAATTGGAGTTAGAGTTGCTTTTTCGCGGATTTGCCGATTTCTGGATGGAATAGCGTCTTGTATCGTGGTAGTGAAGTTGATTGGCTGAAGTATTTAGATGAGGGACAGGATGTCTGGAAAGTGACATTGACTTTGAGCCAACTAAGATTAATGTTTGATGATCTATATTTTTGACTCTTATATATGCTTCGTGGCGCATTTGATTGGTTGTGTATGGTGGTGATGTCGTTCGATTGAGGTGGCTCTAGTGCTTATTGTATTGCGTCATCGTTTGTTTCTTCTTATTGCATATTGCATTGTTAGTATAAAATTTAGGCTTTTATATGCCTCTCCAAAAAGAGTAGGAAAAATTGAGTATTTTATTTTACTTTCGAAAGTCACTAAATATATCTGCGCCAAAACATTTGAATTGTTTTTTCGTGTAGAAAATTGTTAGATCAATTTGTCTCACTGTGGGGTCACGAAAAAAATACCTGTCCTCCACAGTCAAGGGTTAAGTGAGTCGGCACGGCGAGCGCCGCTTGTTTATATTTGATATTACAAGTGGCCAATGATGAACTTTCGATATTAACAACAATAGTATCTTTAACATACTATTTAGTGACAAAGGACCCCGCCGGAAAAGATGGGAAGTCTATCACCCCTCCAGATTCTAATTTCAATACGCTAGTAAGGTAGAACTTGATATTCTGAACCTTTTTGACAATTTTCTAGAATGTTTTTTTTCAATAAAACAGAAATATGGCAGGCTAAGTGACCTTTAACAGATGCATAAAAATTGTGCATTTCGAACTTGAAAGATAGTGCTGGCTGTTGTTTCCCTGTAGCCTGATATGATCGGTAATAGTATAGACTTGCTCGGTTTTTGACGCTCTATCAAAATAACATATACATCATGTATGCAAAAATTACTCATTCGGATGTATAGTATGAATTATGTAGATGTCGACGGAAGGAAGTGAAACATATGTTGACTAGTTGAATTTTTCATGCTGATTCCGAAGATGACGTTGGTTTCGCCAGAAACCGAGCTTGAGTAAAGAGCGAAGGCTAAGCTCAGCTTTACATAGCATAAAAATAGTGGATATTTCACCGTTTTTCGATGAAAAGAGCCTTTCGGAGAATTTGAATCGTCATGAAAAACTAGATGGATCGATGGACTGTGAGACAGCGCAATTTTTTATGACAGAGAGAAGTTTGGTGAACGCATCATTTCCGTTACGTGACAGTCCACAAGATCGATAATAAAGCCAGGGAACTAATAATATGGTACATAATTCACACTATACATCCGAATGAGTAACTTTTGCATACATGATGTATATGTTATTTTGATAGAGTGTCAAAAACCGAGCAAGTCTATACTATTACCGATCATATCAGGATACAGGGAAACAACAACCAGCACTATCTTTCAAGTTCAAAATGCAAATTTTTTATGCATCTGTTAAAGGTCACTTAACCTGCCATATTTCTGTTTTATTGAAAAAAAAACATTCTAGAAAATTGTCAGAAAGGTTCAGAATATCAAGTTCTACCTTACTGGCTGTGACGATTTCAGATACAACAGATCATATGTGTTGAGTGTATCGTTTATTCAATCCAAGGAAATCGCGCCTATGCTATACTTTCCGCGTCCTTACATAGTTTTCGGTTCATATAGCATCACGCTACAGAAAAATACCAAACTCTTTGAAATAATATCTACGATGATCTATCGCTATCACTCGGTGAGGTATTAGGTCAACCGAGAAAGTCAAAAATATCCTGTATAGATGTAAAGCTGAAAGGCCAACATCCAGACTCAAAGGTTGACATCCAAGCCCAAAGGGCAACAATCAGGTCTAAAGGCTGGCATCTAATTACACGCAGAAAGGAAGAAAACAAACGATAGTTGTATATGCGAAGAGGAGAGGAAAGAAAAGGAGAAGAGGAGGAAAGAAGAAGAGGTGTACAATCATAGATTGACACGCTAGCGTATTGAAATTAGAATCTGGAGGGGTGGCAGATTCCCCATCTTTTCTGGCGGGATCCTGCAACAAAATTAATTCTACGAAAATTTGAGAGTATGAGTAATTATAGGCAGGGACGTGGAGAAGTGTTGATGAGAGTGTAAGAGTAAATTATTTGCATTCGTACTGATCTACGTTCACATGCTCGTACAGATCTCCAAACCCTCATCCGCATGTATGCTCATATCCATCTCTTCGCTCTGCGCTTAACCATGAATTTTGATTGCGATTTCGCAAAATTTAATATATATCGCATGAATTCAAACGCCCTATTTTTTTATCTCTTAGGATTAAATTGAGTCTTCTCGCAAGTTATAAATGAGACATGTGATAAAAATATCGCCTAAAACAATACTGTCATGTTGCCACATGGGGAAAAGATTTTATCCTTAGAATAGAGTTTGACTGATATCAATCCATAGGATGCTCCGATTGGATTCGCTTTTCCTAGCACTATGCTTTCTTAGTATAGACCAATCGGTCCTATTTTATGTTAATTTATCATTCATCATTTCTACAGTATAATACTATAAAAATTCTGAAATGGCTGAGTCTAACCATTGCACCGAAACAGTTTCTCGCCAGATAGGAAAAATAAAATCGTCGAAAAATCGTCATCGCATTAGGAAATATTATAGGAAAAAATGAATTATTTTTGAATAGAAATATCTCTGTTACATAGCTCACAAAAAGTTAGCTTTGTCAAACTAGTTCTTATAAAAAAATGAAAAGACTTGATGAACAGTAAAAAACAATAACTCATTTTTCGTAAAGAGATCACATCACAAAAAGAGACATTTTGTCGATTACCGCCAAGACAGATAACCCACTATTAGAAACTAAGCATTTTCTGGAAAGATATTCTTACTAATGCAGGATTCCTTGATAATAAATAACTTCATACCCGTCAGCTTATTTCAATATAAAGGTCTTATAAATTAGAAGGCCAAATATCTATGTTTTTCACAACATATTGGTGACATCTTTGCCACTAGCTACCAGTCGCGATTCTCTTAGGAAGCTTATATCACAAAATCACTTTCTCTGTATTTTCGACTGTTCTCCACAACAAATTGGCAATGGTTTATTTATGTGTTGATCTCGAACTGGCGGTACTAAAGTTGTGCGACACGCGTATTAGCTGATATACATATAAAATATCCCTAGTTTTCAACCTATACTAGCCTGTGATGATTTATAAATTGCGATAAATGTTTACAGCAATGTGAAAATACTTTTAATAGTTTAAAATGGTTGTATTAAGGACCATTTTGTTTATGCATCTCTACACTTATAGAAAGTAATGTGAGCATAGGTCCCACTTATTATTCTGCTGGGATTTTTTCAATTTACACTATAAGGATATTCAAAGCTTAATTTGATGCACAAGGTGAAGTAAAAGATTTCTTCATTAAAATTTGGAAAAAGCATCAAAACAGGTTGAGGTCGGAATTTTGACTTGGAAAAAACTACGATATAGATGAACTATAAAGGATATTTACATCATGATCTAAAGCCAGCGAAGCCTGCAGTTGCTCAAAGTTTCAGGTTTATCGGTGAAGGCCATCGTATATGAGAGAGATCTATGATGGAACTACCCAAACACAGAATTAACTCTAGTGCTAAGAAAGCCTGTTGAATGACGCGTTGTTTAGAAAATTGAAACTATTTTTTAGAAGAACCAATAAATAAATAAAACTTGATTATGATCCAACCCAAGACCATTCCCTCTAAAAACGTTGACTTTCAACGAAATTTTTGAAGTTGAAATAATTGCACGAGCAGATAGCATGCTTTCAAATCTTTACAATGTTATGTGTTTTTTATCCGATATGACTTTTTGCCTGGAAACTTTGATGATTTCTGTGACGACTATATGAAAAAAGTGGTTTGAGTTTTTTTCCTGGCAAATCAATATTTTAATCGAAACTAAGTGTATATAATCAATTTTTTAATTTATTCTGAAAATAATTACGGTTCATAAAACGTAAAACAAGAAATCAATCAACTAATAGTGAAGGAGAGCCTTATTTAAGCAGTCTTGAGTCGGGTAAAGTTCACCAAAAAAGTAATTTAAAACACTTTGGCGCCTTCTTCTTCATTCCACCATCTTCTTTTATCGGTATGCCACTAAAGCTACCAAAGTGTTTTTTTTTACTTTTCTCACCTGATGTTTTTTTGCGTATTCGTTCCGAGATTTTTTGATTTTTTGCTTCGAACTTTTTTAGTGATTGAGTCTCTAACACTTTTTCGCTAATAAAGCAAGAATTAAAAAAATGACTCTATACTGTACTGCATCCTGAGACACTACTTCGAACGAAAAAAATTTTAAATACACTAAAAGGATCTAGACTAAGAAATCATAGAACGAAAGATCAGCTGTTTTTACTCTTGCTTAGTTTTATATCTCTGTTACACAGTGGTCAATCTGGTTGAAATTTTATCATAGACTTCTCACCTCAATCCCAACATGCGCTACCAATTTCACTTCAATTGAAAAGTCCTGAGACTGAAATTAGTTTTCGGAGGACAAGTTGCTTTAAAGGACTCTGAAAATGCTATTCAGATTTAAAATCATGTATTGCTTACTATAACATCTTTTTTATAGAGTATATTGCTATAACTCGAACTATAGCTACTTTTGGTATTTTTTTGTTCTTGATTTTCAACTTTCAGAGAATTGATTTTACTTTGAACACTGATTTAGGTACGACAAGGAACTGGATCCAACTCATCGGAGTAACATTCGTAAAGGTGTTGCATTTGGTGCTTATAAAGGTTGGATGTCTTTCGTCACCTACTTAGTTTATGCGGTTGGTTTCCTTTTTGGTGCCATTCTCATGTCATCTGAGGGTCGTCCTGCTGTGAGCATAAATCACATTCTTGTCGTAAGTCATTGTGAAAATGAAGCCATCGAAAAAATTCCACATAACTGAAAGGGTCTTTTTTTCTATAGATTGTTACACTCTTTGCACAGTGCGTTCAGTTCTTAGCCTTTGTTGGTCCACTCACTCAGTCATTTTCAGAAGGGCGAGCTGCAGCACCACCTGTACTTCAATTGATTAAACAAGTAGAAAGATACAATAACGATCTCGCGATCATAATTGTTATGATACTATTTTATTATATTAGGAACAGAATAAAAGTGTCAATGAGCACGATGTATTGAGAGAAGAAAAATCGGAAGGCGAATCATTTATGGATCTTATCGGTGATATAGAATTTCACAACGTCAGTTTAGTATATCCATCTCGAAAGGATGCAACAGTTTTGGATGACCTCAAAATTATATTTCGTCCTAATCAAACGACTGCGCTAGTTGGCTTGAGTGGTTCTGGTAAATATATACGATGAATGAGTAGATTTCTCGTCGAAATGCTGTGATTTCTTGCTGCTAGGAAAAAGTACGTGTATCTCTCTTCTCCTTCGTCTATATGAGCCTTCATCTGGTAAAATAACTATCAATAAACGACCACTTCCAGATTATGATATCAGAAGATTGCGACAAAGCATTGGTGTTGTTGCCCAGGAGCCTGTATGCTTTCATCAACTTCTTCTATTCTGCTTGCTTTTCATGTTGGTTTTGAATAGATTTTGTTTAGTATGACTATTTATGAGAATATTCGTTTGGGTAAGCTCAATGCAACCTGTCAAGAGATTGAAGCAGCAGCTAAGGAAGCCAATGCACATAATTTCATTATGAAATTACCCGATGTTCGTATTCTGTTTTCCCAAGTGTGTGTCGTATAATGTGTATCTTTTAGAAATACGGAACGGTAGTTGGCGAACATGGTATACAATTAAGTGGAGGTGAAAAACAACGTATTGCTTTAGCTCGTGCGCTAGTGAAACAGCCTCGCATTTTATTGTTGGATGAAGCAACAAGTGCTCTTGATAATACTAGTGAAAAAATCGTCCAAGAAGCACTTGACCGAGCATCGAGAAGTAATATTTCTTTATTTCTTTCGTTCCTTATTGTTTCATTGAGATTATAAACAACAGATAAGAATTCTTAACGAGATTTGTGTAACGAACTTTTTTGTGCTTTACGTATTACTTGAGAACGTTCTTTTGTAACCAGAGGTTTAACGAAAACACTCAAAATAACAACGGATAATGGCCGACTCTCTCTCTCTGAAAATGGTTGTAAGAAAGTTACAAGTTTAGAAATGTATTATAAATAGAGATAGAACCAGCCGCGTTTCTAGAAACCGCGTAGAAGTGTCTTAATTTTAACTACTGTGATCACAATTCACTCGTGCCAATGTGTGAGAGTCTGAATTCTTTTAACTACTATCACCTTTAGTAGACACTTCCGAGTATTCTCTCTCGCTGTCTTCTTATAATTCGATCGTGCTATTTTGTCGTTTTGAGCTACAAGAAATCGACCAAATCATTAAAGTTGTCCAATATTTCAGTCTTATTCTTTTCATTTATGATTTCGTCAAACATTTAGGCAGTCTATATACTTGCAAGTTCGTCATTTACGTCATTCGATTTGATTCTTGAACTAATGGTGAAAAACATTAAAGAGAGTCTGGTAAAAGTGATAGTAGTTAAAAGAATTCAGACTCTCACACATTGGCACGAGTGAATTGTGATCACAGTAGTTAAAATTAAGACACTTCTACGCGGTTTCTAGAAACNAGAGAGAGAGGCGGCCATTATCCGTTGTTATTTTGAGTGTTTTCGTTAAACCTCTGGTTACAAAAGAACGTTCTCAAGTAATACGTAAAGCACAAAAAAGTTCGTTACACAAATCTCGTTAAGAATGGTGGCTTACATGGTAGGATACTACGAGGCAGTTTGCAAGACTTTTCACCTGAAATCAGCACGTAGCCAACCACGAAACCGTTTACTGTCACTATTGAAATGGCTAATTCATCTGCCGCTGCTTCAGAGTTGGAACCGATTGAACTATTTACCAGTCGGTCTTCATCGTACCCGTCTCTCCTAAATGGTTCAGTGAAAAAAAGGAGGGGGCGTATGAGTGCCAATTTTCGCCCCTATCATTTTCACATTGCATCCACTTCCATACTTCACGCGTTAAAAGATTAGAAGTTACTGNGACTTCAATGAATCAGTAGATATTTTGACTGTTTTTCTTATACAATGAGGCTAACCGTACTCACTGGTGAATGGCTTTTCCAGGCATTTAATACATAGTGAAGATAGGTGTCGTGTAGTGTGCACCTATAGTCCACTGAAAGTACTTCATATTTAGTATCAAAGTGATCAGTAACTTCTAATCTTTTAACGCGTGAAGTATGGAAGTGGATGCAATGTGAAAATGATAGGGGCGAAAATTGGCACTGATACACCCCTCTCCTATATTTCCTACTTGCCACACTTGCTATTTTCTGCGATCTATGGAGCAAAATACCATGAAACTTTGATTTTAATAACAACCATTCCATTTCATAAAATAGTCGTAGGTCCATATGTTTATTGGAATATTTTCAATTTCCAACGGTACTTATTTCGGTCGATCTCCTACTGAAGCGTCTTTCTTCGAAAACAAAACAGTGCCCGTTTTTGCTAGGCCCGGAAAATACTTTTAAACCGTGTAGTAACCGACCACATCGAAGTGATGGGGAAAATGTGTCGATATCTATGCTGGACGGTTCTAGTCTGCTGCTTACATTTTATATGTATGTATAGATCGTACTACTATTGTCATTGCTCATCGTCTGAGTACAATTCAAAATGCTGATCATATCTATGTACTTGACAAAGGTAGTGTCATCGAAGAAGGCACTCATGAAACTTTGATGAGCAAAGAAGATGGAAGATACAAAACAATGTTGAAAACTCAAGAAATGACGAGAATAACTGATCAAGATCAAGATGATTTGATGAATATAGGTACAGCGATAGCTACAGATGGAAAACAACTGTGTACGTAAAATCTGAGCAAAAATTATTCCATTTTTGTTGAATATTTTATTTATTGTATAGCACAGCGAGCTGATGCATCGAAGATAGACATAGGCTCCGTTGCAGATCAAGTAAATATACATCAATTAATCATAGGAGAATATATTAGAACTAAAGATTTCTTTTCCAGAGAGAGATCAGATCAAACGAACGAAAAAATATATTTGGAAGACTTTTAGCAATGAATAAACCTGAATGCGTTGCTATCGTAGTTGGTTGTCTTTTGTGTGCGTTCGGTGGTTTTGCTCAGCCAAGAGTTGCTTTACTATTAACTAAAATCATCAATGTGAGCATCCCATCGATTTGTATAAAGAAGTGCAAAAAGAAACTATATTTATGTGTATGTGTAGACATTTAATAATTGTGAATATGGAGATGTTCGATTTCAAGTGTTTGTGGCTTGTTTATTTTTTCTACTTTTGGGTGTGATACTCATGTTGCTGGTTTTTTTTCAAGTAGGTATTGCATTTGTCAAAAATCTAACCAATTAGAATTATTTTGTTAAAATGGTTGTTATTGCCTTTTTCTCTTGTTCAGTTTGTGTGTTTTACCATAACTGGATCGAAATTAGTCCGACGTATTCGTTCGCAAGCATTTGCATGTCTGCTTCGTCAAGAAGTAGCTTACTTTGATCGATCAGAAAATAGTTCGGGTGCTATATATGCTCGTCTAGCTTCCAATGCAACAGCTCTGCAAGATATGATTGGAACTCGATTGGGTGCCATCTGCGAAGCTTTGGCTTTGTCTGGTTTTGGTCTCCTCTTTGGTTTTACTTTCAGTTGGCAATTAACTCTGATTTCTGTACTCTTATTTAGTATTCAACTTACTGTTAGTGGCATCTGTATACACCTAAGTGCACAGTTAAAAGAAAAATGCGATCAATATAGTAGTCGAGCAAATTCAGTAGGTCCTTCACTATTTGAACCTTTTTGATATCACGGACGTTGATATCTATTGTTTCTTGATTTCAGCTTGTTGTGGAAGTGATTCACAATATACGCACCATCAAACAATTATCAATTGAAACTGAAGTTTTACGGCGGTTTAACGATTTGGTTAAGCAAATATTAGGGTACGTCACGGGACGCANCATATTCACAATTATTAAATGTCTACACATACACATAAATATAGTTTCTTTTTGCACTTCTTTATACAAATCGATGGGATGCTCACATTGATGATTTTAGTTAATAGTAAAGCAAATATTGGCTGAGCAAAACCACTGAACGCACACAAAAGACAACCAACTACGATAGCAACGCATTCAGGTAATAGCAGTTCTCTATTGGTGTACTGTTGTCCTTGTTGAAAATCACGAACTACCTTTGAACAAGATCGTAACGTAATAAAAATTAATAGCTGAGTCAAGCAGATAAAAAAAGCTATTCGATATCTGAACTTTTCTAGCGTTTTTGCTTTTGTAACGTTTACATTACGCTCGATTATGATAATTAGCATGCTGTAAGTGAAAAGATCATCTATTTTATCATTGAATTGTATGTATATCTAATCTTAGGTCAGGTCGTATTGGACAATCGATTTCTGCTGCACAAATCTTTTTTAATTTATTTGATCGAATACCATCTATTGATAATGCGTCTACCCAAGGACAGGAATTAGTGAGTGAACTCTTCATTAATCGATTACCCAATATGTTTCGCTTAGAGTAATTTTCGCGGAGATGTAAACTTCGATCACGTGAAATTTGTTTATCCCACCAGACCAGCATCTACTATTCTTAACAACTTCCAGTTGAATATCAAGTCTGGTAAGTGGATCAAAAGAGACTTACTTGCAGAGTTCTTTTCGTTTTTATTTTAAATATTTATCTAGGTCAAAGTATCGCTCTAATTGGTAAGTTAAACTTTGTTTCAGTAGTTTTCAATGCAGAACATTATTCATATAGGAACATCGGGATGTGGAAAATCAACTGTTATTCAGCTGTTGGAACGATTCTACGACACTACACAAGGACAACTAGTAAGTTAGAAGATTGTGGCTAGCATCTAGTCATATTGGATTGTTACGTATTTAGCTTCTGGATGGAGTTGATATTCGTCAATTGAATATACAGTGGCTTCGCTCTCGTCTTGGTCTTGTTAGTCAAGAATCTGTTTTATTTGACATGACTATAGCAGAGAATATCACATATGGATTAGAAAATATTCCCATGGAAGATGTCATCAACGCTGCAAACAAAGCAAACATTCATGAATTTATTTTACAGCTACCACAGGTTAAGAGCTACAAAATGATACTGTTAATTGTTTAAAAATGTCTAATACGATAATGTGTATGTAGGGCTATGAGACAAGAGTTGGTGTTAAAGGTAGCATGATGTCTGGCGGACAAAAACAACGTATTGCCATTGCAAGAGTACTTGTTCGTCGACCCAAAATCTTGTTACTAGATGAAGCAACAAGTGCCATGGATCCGCTTAATGAAGAAGTGAGCAGTTTTAGTTATTTTGTTGATTAGCTTCCTTTATTTTATTGTTCTAGATTGTTCAAGAAGCACTTAATAACACTCAGAAAGAAGATTCAAACCGAACATCGATTATCATTGCACATCGCTTGTCGACTATTCGTTCATGCGATGCAATCTATGTACTTGATCAGGGTCATATTGTCGAAGTTGGTAATCATAATGAATTGATGCAACGACGTGGAATCTACTATAAAATGCTTCTGGCACAAAATAATCGACCAAAACTATGATTCGATAAGAATTCATTTAACTATTCTTCATTTTCGGTTTTTGTAGTATAATAAAAGATAACCAGCATAATTTAGCAGTAACAACACTTAATATTGCATCAAATTTTGAGGGTCCATTACTATTTTATGACACGATACCAAGCTTGCTATGTAAAAATCCTGTTCTAACGGTTATGAAACAGAATTTATTTTGATTTAGAAAGCTTGAAAAGACTTTTACTTCGCATGTGATGGCTAACAAACATTTAAAGTGATGTCCCAATAGAATCAAGAAAATGTTAAAGTCGAACCTGTAAAATTTTTTAAAATTTGACTCAAGGGAGGATGTATAAGAAAAAAGTGAGAATAGTACGTTTTGCTATTGATCGATCGTACCCTAATACCCATAACGAGACTAGTTTCTATTTTGATAATCCTACCTTTGTATGGAAAAAGAAATAGCTTGATATTTCATCTATCTCAATTACACCTATCTGTACTCCAAGATTTTTTGGTGCAGTTTCAGTGCGCTACAGGTTACATATGAATCACGTACTGTACGATTGCGATGAAATGTATTGATGAAACAATTCGAAGATCATGTATAAAGAAACGTATTCACATCATAAACTCATTCAGACACTTCTCGTCGGTAATTAAGTCACGTGTTCGTGGACAATTTTTTGGGTTTACACCTTGTCAGGAATGTCGTAGAAAGCATGGCGTTAGTCATTGTCAATTTATCTTCCGCTTCTACCAAAAGACCTTGATAAATTTCATCTTAGTNCACCTTGTCTTGATAGCTTTCCTATAGCTTTATAGTAAAGCCCTTCTAAGGAGTCAGCAACATACGGGTATACGTACCGATAAGTACAGTTTTGGCCGGACCTACGCTATTCTATATTACACTTCACGCGATTTTATAGAGAAACTGATGTAAATCAGTCCACACATTTGCTTATGATATCTTCGGCAATCTATCAGAGTGTCAATCGCCTTCCCACGAATGCCGAGGAGCACTGCAGATGCGATGCGCTGGTGAATCGAAATCGGTCGATCTGACGAGCAGGAAAGCGTCCATGCAGTGACTAAAACCCACGATTTTGAAAAAATTTGTGCTAAATAAGGGGCTAGTGAGTTGTGATGAAAAATGGCACTTTTGCTCGTTGAACAAGGCTGAAAAATTTATGGATAGTACCCCATGATAAATTCTATCACTGGCATAAATATCAAGACAAACGGCTGTTGACACTTCGAGTACGATAAGTTGAGATTTTGGCCAAGAATTCAACTTTCGAAGCTTCCAGTGTCTCAAAGAATCGTATGGAAGCCCTGCGACTTTCTATACAGAAGCACCACACCTCGGTAGGTATGATTCAAAAAGCAAAAGATCTAAAAATGGAAAAAAAAGACAAAAGGTAGATTTTACTGACAAAAGTCACCTTCGTGAATTTTCGAAAAAATGGGATCTTGTACAGAGTTTTTGACTGGGAAAAAGTAGTCAGTTAGGACTGAAGTTTTTGTAGGATACAGTAAAATCTCTCTAATGTGAACACCAACGGGGCCAAGCGAAAGCGTTCACATTAATAAGGTGATCATATTGGAGAGGGATTGTGTAAATATGAAAAAACCTAGACTTTTCAAGTAGATTCTTTCTCATTTAATTATTGAGCTATGGTTTATTCACTTTAAACTGCTGTTAATACACTCTGATTACAAAAAAAGAATCTTTTTAATATTTCATTGAAGTTCACATCGAATCTTACAGATTTAAAGGTTTAAAATAATCATAGATTGATCGTTGTCTCGCAACGTTCCAATCTAATAAGATATCAGTAAGTTTTGACTGCATTTGAATTACAAGTCGATGTAAATCAGGTTGTTGTGTAGTGGATAATAAACGAAGTCGACGAATCATCTCGCGAGACTCTGCTAATGATGGTGGATCTTCAGTTGGTGCATCTTCACTGTTGTCTGACTCACTGGCATCAAGATCATTGATCATCACAATCTTCTCAACTGAATCGTTCCATTCATTAAAAACTGGTATGTCCTCATGAATATTCTAAAATAAAACAACTATGAGGATTAAGATTCTGTCGAGTTTTTCTTTTAACAGCTTACCACAAAATCGTTTGCTGAGATAACCTTTCCATCGATTGACAAGTATTTCAGCACCTTGTCGAGTTCATCAATTGGTTTATCTTTCGATGGTAAATCACCATCACTCATTTCTATTGCATCCACTGGAATCAAATCATTAGCACCAGTAGGTTTTTTAAATCCTGCTGAAGTGAATATATTTTGTATTGTTTCTTGTGTTACCGATTCCCATGCAGATCCAATTCAATACACAGCATCTAATGCATTGATTTGAATGTCATCAATAGCTTTTGCAGCACTTGCACTTGCAATGATATGTTTAACTAAATTACGTTTGTAGTGGGCTTTGAATGCACGAATTACACCTTGGTCCATGAGTTGAATTTTCGCTGTTGTATTAGCTGGAAAGAATTTCAATTTGATATTCTATAGTGCAACATCAGGTGGATGTACTGGTGCATTGTCAAGAAACAGAAGTATATGACGTTTCTGTTTTTGCATATTCAAATCTGATTGTTCCAACCATTCGATAAAGATCTTACTATTCATCCAAGCCGCTCGATTACTGTACCATGAGACAGGTAGTTTTGTCATATCGATGTTTTTGAAACATCGGAGTCTTGCAGATTTGCCTAGAACGAGAATTGAATCTAATGTTTGAATTTTGCAAAATAATCAAAATTTATTTACCTATAACAATTGGTTTTAACTTTTCATTACCTAACCAGTTCGCACACAACATCACTGTGTATCGATCTTTCGATTTCTTTCCACCTTTGCAATCGTTTTTGTCTAAAGTCAATGATCGATCAGGCATGAGCTTGTAAAACAAACCAGTTTCATCAAAGTTGAAAACATAACTGGGATTATAATGTTCAATAATATTTGGTAACCGAATTTTCCAATCTTCTACCACGTTTACATCGACTGATCGACTTTCACCGCAAATAAGACGAAACTGAATATTGTATCTCGTTCGAAATCTGTCCAGCCAGCCATTAGTAGCTTTAAATGTACCTGTTGTATCACCAAGTTGTTCGGCTATGTTTCGAGCATATTCCTGAATTATTGGTCCAGATATAGGAATATTCTTTGACCGTTGAATAACAAACCAATCGAAGACTTGATCATTTAATTCTTGACTAAATTCACCTTTAATTTTTCTCTTCACGTTTCTACTTTGATTAGCTTCATAATCATTCATATATTCGTACTTTCGTTTGAGAATATTGGATACACCACCGAGAGATAAACTGAACTTATTACTAAGTTCTCGATGTGATAAGCCACGATCTTTAGCTTTTCTAAGATCAACCTTCTGTTCAAGAGTTAGATCATTACGACGTGACGTATTCATTAATGTACAATTTATTACAAGGAAACAAACAAAATACAAACAGAAAATTGATTGTTTTCTCTCTCTTTAGTCATTTTTCTCTCTTATAGTCTTTTCTCGCTTATTCAGTCCGACAGAATGAGCCAATAACACGTGTGATATTATTCTTTGATAGATGGTGCCAGATATTAATGTTCACATAAGAGAGGTAATTGACACAATCCGGACCGAAAAAAAGCGTTCACTTTCAGAATCACGAGGTGATCATAAAGGAGGGGGTCAAAATCAGCAAAATTCGTTCGGTGGGACCGGAGAGCGTTCAGTATAACAGGTTGATCACAATATAGGGGTGTTCACTAACAGAGGTTTTACTGTACTTACATCGATACCCCCTACCACATACGAAGTAATCAGCAAAATCTGAGACATGATTGTGTCACGACCGTCTAAGTTTATCAGAAACTCACTCTTAAAATACAGTTTCAATTAGTATCGCATCGTTATAGTATATAGAATAAACTGCTATACCTTATGAATTTCTGATAAGATCCGTTTATTGTTAAGAAAACATTAGTATCGGGTATTATTTTGATGAGAAGTATGAAGTATCTAGTTATTTTTGTTCAATCTGTTTTACCGCATATCATGGATCTTTGTAGAAATGTGTTGGACCTTAGACATGCTTACTTCTCTCTTTATCTGTACATTATGTTAATCTCGTTACGACTAATGAATTACACGAGTGATTACTTGCGCGATACATTATCATGGTAACGAATTATCCGTCCACCATATAAGTGCGTGTTGTTATATGTAAAAGACGCGATTTATGGTAGGAAGAATAAATAAAGACATGGTTCCATCGGATATACATTTTTTCCATCAAAAATCGTTGCAATTAGCAAAATGCCTCGTCTTGTAAGAATAAATATTTAAAAGTATAAGAACGTATTGATCAACCTATGTAGAACCAATAAGTGTCTCTGCCGTTGATCTACACTACGGCTCCTGAAAGGACAATTTGAGGGTAATGAGAGTTTTCATGCCATATTGTCACACCAGAATTTGGCTAAAATTCGAAGATGAAATTGTTTGAACGAGTGGTTCCTGAGTTATTGGAAAACTATTGATATTTCTCTATGACTTCTTATGTACTCCATCCGATACACTTGTTGCAGTACACCTAATTTTCAGATAAAATCCGAAGTTTCCGTATTTATTTCAACATGTCGACACATTTGGAAACGTTGGACATTTACGGAACTTCTTTGATGGGTTTGGTAGAAAATATTACTTTTTAGTGTGCTATGTCGAAAATTTGAGCGCAATCTGATTTTTCTATCGAAATTTATCCTGTGAACAAACAGGCGGACGGACAGACACACTGACCGAGTCTGGTAGCGTACTCACTTTTTCAGTACACAAAAAGTTCCTTAGCGCAAAATTCTACTGTTCTGTAAACAGAATTTTCATGATTGAAGAGTTATTTCGGTGTAAGATCGAGCAAAGCGCTCTCAACGAGTCCAATTTATATGTATTAATAAGATTTTTAATATCTTTTTCTTTTTCAACTCTCTTTATGTTAAATTAAAATAAGTCTTAGAAGTATGTCTTTAAATGAAAAAACATTTTTGATAAGATCGCACTGAAAAATGATAAACATCGAGGAAAACACTGAAAAACAGTGAATAATATATATTAACTGATGATGAGTTAATTAGAAAGCATCATTTAACTTTTTGTGCCGGTACACCAGACCAATTTGTATTATGTTCTAGTTGGTCATTTTTCATCACAAGCGTCAGTGGTAAAATACGATTTTTGCCGCCAAGTGTTGCTCCAGAAAATATTGCTGTACGACTCATAAGTACGGCAGAATCATTGACAGTGACGCGAGCGAATTTCATCAACCGTTGTTCAAATGAATGACACTTAGAATATAAATTTAGAAAAGTTTTTTATGGAAGTCTAGAATAATAAAACGGTTTCTTACCAAAATATGCGTACCCATATGTAGGCGAACATGATTGCCTATTGTTGTAAGAAAAGGATCAGTAATACATAATATACCATTCAGAATGACGTCACATCCAATTTTAGCGCCCATAATACGGAACACGAACACGAGCAATTGTGTTCCTGACAGATATGGCATAAAGAATATCCAATAGTCAACTACAAATTTAAGTATTATAACATTGATCAGAGTGATAAAGTCTGAAGATTTGTGTTTGATTGCGAAAGCAATAAAAATAAAATAGCGACATGCTATACAAAAAAGAACGAAAAGCATAAGTGTCGCAGAGGAAGGTTGTAGTAGTACGTATAGACTGAGAACTGTGCACCTAATTATGAAAAAAATAATGCTGTGAAGTAATAGAGCAGACATTGAGAACGAATTCGAATAAAATGATAAATCATTTTCAGTAGACACATTATCAACTAGTGCAAAAGGCATCTCACGAGCTGGAATACCGAGGAGCACCTTCTTAGTATCCCGACTAACTGTTTCTCGTGTTACTAAAGAAAGACTACTAATTATAATTTCAGATGGAACTTGTGCACCAGGCATGATTGTACACCAATTACCAAGGGTTGTATTTGTGTCAAGATGTATACGATCAAAACAACAAAGGCCCTCCCTTGTCATTTCATAGGGATGAAGTTTAGCTTCTAAAAACGTTGTGACACCACTGCCAACAGTAAAAAGATTTGATGGAAAATATAATATTTTTCGAAAGTCACTGAATTTAACATCATTTTCAATACGAGCACCTAACCACCGAAAAATAACGGGCGCAAAAGCTTCGTACGCTGGCACACGATCTAGTGAATGAGAAAATGATGTTATAATCAATTGACGCAGCCACGATTTATGAAGATAATAGTAGGAATTAAGTTGGTAATGTCCAGTATCAATGGGACCCACTAAAAATTTTAATAAAAGCAGTGCAGTAGAAATGCACATTAATATCCAAATGAACCAAGTTAATGTAAGTCGAATAGGCAATGGTAATGACATTATAACAAAACAGTGGTAAACACCATATGCTGAAAATAAAAGTATATTATGAACAAGGAAAAGGCCAGCCAGGTGAATAAACTGATATATTGTTTGATTCATCGATATTGACCGATCTTTTATAACTATTCGGTCAGAGGACGCTACAAGACGGCCTGTAACGGCAGACATTGGTTCTACATAGACATGATCTTCAATAATCACTTTGTCATATAGTACACTGCGTGTATTAACAGAACAACACGATCCAATATAGATTGGATAAAGTTCATAAGTATGATCTTGATAAGATAAATTTGAAAATATAACTTCTTCGTCGATAAATGTTGATTCACCGATCTCAATCAACCAAGGTGCGTCGATCAACGTTGTGTAAATATGTGTATGACGTCCAATTTTAGCTCCACATAATCGTAAATAAAAATTGTAGAATGGTGTTCCTATTATGTGGTGCAACCAATAGGAATTATTTGTTAACCATAAACTATTTAAAAACCACCAACGATAGTATCGCCAGGAATAAAGTTTATCTTTCTGATTTATAATCCCTTGTGGAAGAAACATCAAACGCTGACAAACAACGTACGATAAAAGATGAAAGACAGGAATGAAAATAAGAGCAGTAGGCAAGTTGAAGTAATAAAGTGACCATAGAGGGCATAATCCATGAGTTACAATCAAAAGAATGCCTATTATCTCAATACACAAGGACGGTTTAGGTCTTTCCTTCTCGTTGATAGACTCTACAATCTCCGATTTTATAGATGTTTCGTCTGATTTGATAACCGATAGTTCAATAGCTTGAGCGAGTTGTCGAACTGTTGGATTTGAAAATAATGTGACGGCATCAATTTTACCAGAAATTTCTTTTCGTATAAGCCAGAGCGCTTTTATAGCATCTAGTGATGTGCCACCCATCTGGCCAAATGACATATTTACGTCAGGTGAATTATTGTGAAATGCTTCGCTAAAAATACGACACAAATGTTCTTCCAAGGGTGTTACTGGTACTGTGCCACTAGTGCAGTTATCAGACTGAATGAAGTCGTGAGGTGCTGGCAACCGTTTCCGATCTACTTTTCCGTTGGCGTTTAATGGTAGTTGTTCAAGAATGATGAATTTAGATGGAATCATGTGGGACGGTAAATAAGTCTGACAGTGTTTCCGTATTTGATTGTCATCGATTGTAGAGCTTTGGACATAAGCAATCAGCTGACTATCATTCCATTTCGTAACAATACAAGCAGAAATAGATGTGTTCAGCAAGCATTTTTCGATTTCTTCCAGTTCAATCCGCTGCCCATACAATTTGACTTGATAGTCTTTTCTCCCTCGGTAATGAAGAAGGCCATTATTATCCACAGTAGCTAGATCACCTGTTCGATAAAATATCTGGCCATTGATCGATAATTGTGCTTTTCCTGTCAACTCTCTATGTCTTAAATAGCCAGCAAAGACACCAATACCTCCAACATATAATTCACCATCTCGATTGATGGGAACGTGTTGTAAAAGCTCGTCTAAGACCATACAAGTATAGTTAGGAAGTAAGCGACCAATTGGCGCACTTGATTTATCGAGTTGCATATCGACACAGTGATACGTACAATCAATGGTCGTTTCTGCTGGTCCATACAAATGCACTATTCTAGTATTTTCTAATATGTGTTTGTACAATTTCTCAAATAGTTGAACTGTACTTTTGTCGCCTAGAAAACATTAGTGGATAGTTTCTGACTATATATGCAAACATCTTACCGCCGATATCAAGAGTTCGTAATGTTTCCAATTTTGGATGATCATTTTTCAGGAGAAAATCGCACATATTGTTGAGATACGCTGGAACACTTTGCATGTATGTAATTTGCTTCTCCTTCAAAATTTTTACAACGTATTCTACATCCATGTTTCCTTCAGGGTGTAGAAATACAAGATTCGCACCGAGGATTAATGTTCCTAATACTTCTTGCACATGAACATCGTATGAACAGCTTGCCATCTGTATTACTGTGTCTTGAAATGTATATAAACCAATATGAAGTAGGGATCGAATACATCCAATAAAATTACGATGCTGAATTTCAACCTTAATGAAAAGATAATGTTTAAAACCATGTTACATACGACAAAAAATTTACCGCTTTTGGTATTCCGGTTGAACCACTAGTAAAAATAACATAGGCACGATTGCTTAGCGTCACGGTTACATTTGATAATTGCTCAAAATCAATATTAGTTTCCATGTGACTGTCAACAAAGGTCGCATCAATATCTATTGAAGTGACGTCATTATGAAATTTATTCGCAGTGAGAGAATGAACGAGGACGATATTCGCTTGAGTCTGTTGTAGAAGTGAGGCCAGACGGTGTTGTGGATCTTTAGTTGATAGTGGGCAATAGACACAACCAACCATTTCAATCGCCATCATACCAATGACCTAAAAATGTGAATATTTATGGAAAAGATGAAAACACTGAATGGTAAAATAGACTTACCATCGATAAACTTCTATCGACACATTGACAAATTATATCATCTGATTTTACAGAGTATTTCTTCAAAAGATATAAAGATAATATTTGAGCATAATGTAATAATTCAGCATATGTCAACGATTGTTCATCAAGTTCGACTGATAATTTTTGTGGATACTTTACTACTTGATATGAAAACTCTTGGTGTACGCAATTCATAGAAGAAAATAGTGTTTGTGTATGGTTTATAGATTGTGTGAGGATTTGCTCGTCTGGCAGTTGTAAGGACAATTCACAAACGGATATGTTCAATTTTTGATCATTAATAGATGCAAATAGTCGCTTCAACATGGAATGATACTGTTGTCCAATGATATGAACTGTTTCTACTTTGAATACATCACGTGATGCGTTGATTGTACATGAAACTTGATTAGTATCGCGAGCATGTTCAATTTTGAAAACTAAATCAAACTTTCTCATCATTTCATTATCATACATTTGCATGGTAAGGGGCATCAAAGAAAGTCGACTATTATTAATGATTGGTTCATTTTCGACCACATTCAATGTGTGTGATAGAAACTGGAATGCTGTGTTAAGAGTTGCGGGCTCCGAAACACTGGAATGCTGATTAAAAATACGTTGCAGAGGAAAATAAGAGAATTTCATACTATTTGTTAACATCTCTTTAACATATTCGATTAGTTGATGACAAGATCCATAAGGACAGAGTTTACATCGTAGAGGAATAATACTATCAAATGTCCCAATGATTGATTTTAATTCATTCCTATATCGGCCATCGATACTTTTTCCAATACATAGATCGTTTTCGCTGTTAGTTATTTTAAATAAAAAAGCATAATACATAGCAAGTACTAGTTGTTCTAGTGTAACATTATATAACGATGCGTATGTGAGAAAATGATATGATAAATCTTGATCAAAATCAAAAGAAATGGATACTGTATGATTTGTTCGATCTTCATCCATAAGTCGATGCTGGTCATATGGTAATGATAAAGGCTGATCAAGTTTACAATCACAAAGAGCATCAAACCAAAAACTACTAGCGCCATTCATTGACATTTGCTGTTCGATGATGGCATCTAAAATGATGAGAAAGCTACATGTTGTGAAACGGAATTATTATAAATGTTTATAATTACAATCAAGATAACGTAAAGTATTATTATCATTTGTTGGTAGTTGGCCTGTTGTATAAGCTTGATTAAGATCATCAAGAAACAAATTCATTGATTGAAGATCAAACACAGCATGGTGAAAATTGAAAATAAGAACATCATTGTGAGAAAGATATTCATTGGAAGACCTTTCTTTGTGATAAACAACGTGACAACGAAAGACAAGTCCACGTGTAAGATGAAAAAGTTGTGAATTATATTTTTCTTCATGTATAGTATTATCTAGTTGTTCCTCTGTTTCATAAGTACTTTCGATGAACGCAAACAATCGATTGTGGTTCTCATGCAAATCTGTAACTCGTTGTATTAGTTGATCTTTTTCTGTGTCGAAGTTCAGTGATGTATGAAGTGACTGATGTCTCATAACACATACTTGAAGAGCATTTTCGAGTTGTTTAGTTGATATTGTACTAGACGTAGCTAAACGATAGACGAAGGGTATGTGATGAGTTGCAATTTCTGATTTTGTGTCTTCGAGCCAAATGCGTGCTTGTGCAGACGATGCGGGTGCTATAACAAAAAGAAGTAATACTAAAATACAACTAACAAAATTCCTTATGAAACGTTTTTAGATTTTTTGTTGACTATTGCTACTTCCGAAGCGAGGAAAAGAAAATAGGGTTTGTCTATTGAAAAAAAATTTAGTCATTTCATTAATCATCGCGACCTAATATTCTTTGAATCTTTTGTGCTTACCACGATGATAAGCTCTTAGCCCACATTAAATATAATAATACGCGGAAAAATGAAGTAATGTTTGTCCAATTATGCGAGATAAGTACATAGGGTATTCAATAAGCTCTCGTAGTTTTCTATATCTCTCTCGAATAATTGTAATTCCTGTCTTTTTTACACCATATATTCGAGTTAATTGTCGTGATATTACATAGAAAATTTCATCAATCTAGCTGATTCTTTTGACATCCAACTGGGGTACGTATTGCATAAAAATGGCTCCTTGATTACTCACATTTGCCATAACGCACAGCTGACTATTAGCTAGCATATCTTTTACTCGTTTTATCACCTACTATAGAGCACGACCAGCCATCGGTCACCCTACGCTATGAAAGATTTAAAACTATTAAACTAGCGAGAGGCCAACCTTTTTTGAAGCAACTCTGACGAGAAAACCTTTAGAATCTAGAGAACTACTGTCTCTTCCATCTATGATTTGCCAAAGGACAAAAATCTTTTCCCCCAAATTTCTGAGCATGAATATATTGAAAAATCGTAAAAATTTCGACGGTGACTGTGATACAGTGACGTCATTGGGATGTCTCCTTCTATAGATATCATTGTTACCTTGTCTTTGTTCGAAATATTTTACAGGAATATTCCATGTGGTCATAGTCCTTCGGAAATATTCTGAGGATATTTCATTATTCTGACTCCATATATAATCACAGTTCTTTTTATATTGTTGTGTTTAGTTTTCGTTTATTTTCAAATAAACTCGTATACACCTCAAGACGTGACGATGACTTTTTGGCTTTTGCGAAAAAAATCAATAGGAATTACGGAGTCGATTCGAAAATACGGTTCAACCAGATCCTGATCTTTGAACACATCTGAGGTATGTTCCCGATGAAGTAGAAACCACAGCTGAATTCCAGCAAAAACGTAGGTATGGATCTCTCAAACTATCCACATAGAGCACGCAATTTTCGATAAAATTCCGAACGCTTGGCTGTGCTCTATACTAGATTTTAAGTCCAAGTTGAATATACTGTGTTAGCCATAACTTCATTGGATTGTATTCGGAGAAGATAGCAACACTGCTTATTATGTTGTTTAAAAACCATGAATTAGTCTTATCCACAAAAATACGGTTTTGTGAAAATACCTTTTGCATGGATGAACTTTCGTTCATTTAACTACTATAAATAGTTTTCCCCAGCTGCTTTACAAATTATCATGAAAGAAAAATTAGTCGGATTAAAATAAACTGTTAACACAGCCTTCTGTAGTTTGTACTATAGTCAGCAAAAATCGTTTATACATATTTAGTTTCTCTGTCATTTCGCGACGATAATGATATTGAATTCAATATTGGAATATCAAAGCCCGATCCGATGTATGTGAATGCTATAACGTTAAAGCTGTTTACGTTTTGATGCATTGTCACATAGCTATTATCTCTTTCCATCTCTTTCTTTCTCTCTTCGCATACTGGACTTTGTTCGTCCTTCATTCTTCCATGTGTTCTCGTCGGTCTGGGTCAAATGTTTCTGAGTGATCTGAAACGTGGACGTACTTTTCGTACATTCATAAGCAGAAGTTCCTGATGACTTCTCCTTTGTTCTTGAGCCTTATAAAGACTCATCTCTTTCAAAATAAAGGCATTCGTCTTCGTCGTTTCGATTAGCCAATTTTTCACATTTTAACTTCAATTCATCGAGATTTCATGACCGAAAAGGTCAGGAAAATCTCGTCAGTGGCCAAGGAGCCATTTTTATGCAATATGTACTCCAGTAGGATATCAAAAGAATCAGCTAGATTGATGAAATTTTCTATGTAATATCATGACAACTAACTCGAATATATGGTGTAAAAAATGGAGGAATTACAATTATTCGAGAGGAATATACATAACTGCGCGAACTAACCGACACCCATATATAAAAGGAAAATAACAGCACATAATTTCTCTTGAATATTCTATACATTTGAGACTACTGCTTTTCCTAAATATAAAGATCTTGATGTTAGTTACTTCCCTTCCGAGATACGAGAGTCTGCCACATTCACCGAAAAGAACAGTTTCAAATGTGTAGAATGTTATAGAGACAATATCATATCTAATTTGCTTGCAGAACAGTGATTAAGAGGTATTCATCTCACGCTGCTTCATGGAATTTTCCAAGCGGAGTCCTCTTTTATACTGGACGAACCACCTCCACAGGGTTATGAAAAACGCAATTAACGTTTGATGATAATTGGATGATTGAAGAATTTAGGTCAGGTAATTGACAGCGATTTTATGCTACAGGTGAATAAGTACGGAATTGATGATGAAAATTATGTTATACATAAGATGTAAAAAAATTGCAGATGAATGAACTCTTTTCAAGGGTTTATTAACCTTACAAAGTATAAGAAGGGTATCCTACACGCTATATTTTCATATACCATAAAAAGGTTCATTAGCCGCCTATACCCTTGAAAACCACTTTTCTTTTCTACCGTTCTTCTAAAGAGCACACACTCGAAAATCTTCTAAGGCTAAATCGATGCTCATCTATCCAAAATGGTTTATGAAAGTGCAACGTAAAAGAACTCTCTGCCAAGTTTATCAAAAAACACGGTTCATGAGAGCGTACATCACGTTCATAAATCTGAAAAAGGTTCGTAATTCGGCGATTCTTTCACAGCGTACACTATGTGAAAACCCCTTCAGTAAAACTAGATTTTCTCTAGAATACCTCAAGATTTGGTTACACAACTTCTACAGAAAGTTATCGAACATTCAGCTAAATAATACGAACAATAAATAAACGTATTACTGAACTATTTGATACGCAATTCTATCCCTATTGTACGCCTAATTCAGCATATCGAAGAGACTTGTACAGGTTAAAGTCGAAAAAGCAACGTTTTCAAAAAGTGTTGCCAATACATATAGGCTACTACCGCTTTATTTTTGAAGCAGGAACTCTTACCTTGTTTATGAATAAATCAATCTGCGATCACAAATCAGACAGTTAATCTACGCCGTGTAACATCTAGTTACATTCTTTAATATGATCGTTCAAAATATTTAACATATGGGTATGTAAGATGCGTATGACAGTATATACACACAAAGTCTCATAACTTCGAAGCTTCTTATGAAAATGTAGTGCAATGCACAACATTATGTTGCTACCATCAATGATGGTCTCAAGGAAGAAAGAGTTGCATGAGTTAAAATTTATTGACACTATCATATCTAACTCTGGACTACATATCGGCAAGATTTAATTGGAATGTGAGGTATAAGTTGAGCACGGTGCTTCGTAGTTTTCATCCATTGACTCATACATCAAAATCTTCAAAACACACATAAGCTACATGACTAAAATCTAACTTAACACTGTAGCATCGCACATAAAACCGTCTAGGATGCAGTTAACTCAGAGCAGAAAACCAAATTGATTTTCAGTTTCATAAATAACCGCCATCCTAATCAGCTCCCAGAAATAACAGGCTAAACATTAACTCGATTCCACAGCCTACAGTATTCAAATGGCTAAGAAGGAAAAGAATAATTTCTAGGACAAACATCAATGGAAATCAACAGTAACTATACTACTTGCTGTATCCAGTTCCAGTATTTCTTATGGTTTCCCCATTGATTTCGTATAATTTCCAGCGATTCTTCACTTGAAAAATTTACCTCTTATCAATCATAAAAAGTCACGAGAAATCACAGAAATCGTTTTGTCCCTCTTGCAAATGACCCAATAAGTAAGCAATACGAATCGTTACCTTCATTTATCACATCGTCTTGTCGACCAAACATAACATTATCGATTTCTCTTGCTTCTTCTGGTAGAATTAGATTAAATAATGATATAGACATGTCAAACATATTTCGTGTTTCCATTCCTTCTTGCGATGAAAACAATTGTTCGAAAAGATATTGAAATCGTTCACTTGTTTGTTTGATTGCATTTTCATCGAATAAATCAGCTGAGCAAATAAATACACAAGATAATTGTTTATCATCCGGTGTTGTACTATCGTACACGAAGTTCAATGAAAAATCGAATTNATCCTTTACATTCTACCCTTAATCTGTTTCAACGTGAACACAGAATCATGAGTTCTTGTTCATTATAACCTCTATACTCTGGCAACTTTTATCTATCTATGTATCTATATATACATAGATATATATAGATATGTACGCATATATATATATATATATATATATAAAGAAGAAAGTTTGTCTGTCTGTCTCTCTGTCTGTTTGTTGTTTGTTCGCTATGCAGTCAGTCTCTGTGATAGCTATCGGCCTGGAACTTTCCACAATGCTTCTATGAACGCAGCGGAAGATCAGCATCTACTTTTCCCCGAAACAAATGAACCAGGCGTTTGCTACAGGCAATCTATGAAACTGGCCAATAGGATTGCAGTATTTTAACAGTGGATGAAATTGATAGCAAAGACGGCCGAAGACCCTCTGAGCGCTCATAGACAACAATATACATGTTGTCTATGTCTATGCTAGTTCTGTGCATGCTATAGGCTACATGCGAAACTCACCAATAGTACTACCGAGTTACAAAAGATTAAGATATACCTTAAGGGTGAATGCAAAGGATGTAAGATACGAAGTGACGTGTGAGTGTGAATGAGGTTCACAAGTGAACGAGTGGAATGTAGAATTAATATCAGAGAAAGAGGCAGTTCTAATCATTTGTCAGGTAGAAACCAGCTGCGGTAACTAGGGTCCTGCATCGGGATTCTTCGGCGGCGATTGTTTTCAGAGCGGAGACTATAGCTTAGTTGTTGGATTCGTTAGAAAATGCACGATCGATAGAGCATTAGATTCTGTATCGGGTGACCATATTTTAAGATTTCACTGAAAATCTATCGCAGAATAATCGCCAACAGGATTCCGAAACCCGGTAAAACCTTCAAGTCGGGATTTTTCTATCCCGCTAGTAATTCTCTCATGACACACTTTCAGTGAGATCCAAAAGCAGAATGATCTGGCACAGAATTCAATTCTCTATTCATCGTACATCTTAAAAACTCGAAAAAATTACCTGTAGTCTCTGCTCTTGAAATACTGGATCCCGAAAAAATCCCGATGCAGGACTCTAGCGTAACTCTTTTGCATTAAGAGATATAACTGAAACTTCCGTTTTACACAATGCACGGCGAGAAAAAGAAGAACTACAAGCATAGAAATTTCGATTATGCTGATTTTATATCTGCTGCAGCTTTTCAACACGTGATATGTTCGACATAGATATCTGTCATTTGCCACCGGGTACCCTCGCTAGTATTGAATAATCTTCAAAGAATCATCATTAATTATCTCAACTACGTACATTTTACCATTTTCTACATAGTAAATGTTTTTGCGTCACTCGTTAGTACAGCATATACAAGTACTTACCTTCATTTATCATATCGTCTTGTCGACCAAACATATCATTATCGATTTCTCTTGCTTCTTCTGGTAGAATAAGATTAAATAATGATATAGACATGTCAAACATATTTCGTGTTTCCATTCCTTCTTGCGATGAAAACAATTGTTCGAAAAGATATTGAAATCGTTCACTTGTTTGTTTGATTGTATTTTCATCGAATAAATCAGCTGAGCAAATAAATACACAAGATAATTGTTTATCATCCGGCGCTGTACTATCGTACGCGAAGTGCAATGAAAAATCGAATTTAGCCACTCGATACGATTGTTCCAATGATATTAGTTCTAATGGTGTTTCATCCAAACAAAATGAACTATGACCAGATGAAATAGTAATGAAATCAAACATTATTTCAAGGAATGAAACACTTGATTGATTAAGATTTAAATCAGCTAGTAGATGTTGTAGTGGGTAATAAGAATGTGGAAGAATTGATAGACACTGATGTTGAACTTGCCGAACAAGTTCACTGAATGAACAATTTTGATCAAATTGAAGACGATAGGGTAACGTTGCAACAAACATACCAATCATATCTTGTAACTCAGATCTGTAGCGATTTGCATTAACCGAAGCAATACATAGATCAGTTCGGTAGTGAGATAACCGAAAAAGAAACACATAGAATGTTGCTAGAGCAAGTTGAAACAGTGTAAGATGTTGTTGAGATGCATAGTTGATAAATGATGTGGATAGTTGTTGGTTGAATGAAATTGAAGCAATTGTTGCCGAGCCCGATCGTTGATTGAGAACAGTTGTTGACGACGATAGCCGCTTTCGATCTGCACATAATAAGAAAGGATTCTGATGGTGAAAATTGAATCCATGCAGGTGTGAAGACCAGAACTGTTGAGATGTCGTCATGTCGATGAGACACTCATGAACTGAATAATCGATGTATTGAAGTGTTGAGTCTTGACGTGAGGATAAAGGAGAAAAATTATTTGTTGAATAAGCAAGAGAAAGATCACGAATAAAGATTGCTGTTGATGTTCCATCAAAGAATGCGTGATGAATAGTGAATAAGATCAGATCATTTGTATTCAACAGATCATCATTGTTCTCAGCGCTGTGATTATTGCTTTGACGGGCCGGCGATGATAATGATCGATGAGAACGGAGAATATGACAATTAATGATTTTGCCTGTTGATAAATCAAATAAACTTGATTGATCCATAATGCTTTTCACAACTTCATATATTGAACAACTTTTATATTGAAGAAGATCAACGATTGAAAATGAAAATGACTTTTTCTCAGAGCAATCTTGTATAAGAATTCCATTTGCGTCCAAATAAAGGGATGTTTGCAGAACACAATGTTTTGTAATGATATTTTGTAAGGCCTGATGCAACCGTGATAATGACACACGATGACTGGAAGACGAAATACGATATAACAATGGAATAGCATACATGTTATGATTATTCGTTTGCGACGTAAAACGAATTTGTTCATCTAAGAAGATGCGCTCTTGTGCATAGGATGCTTTTGCTAAAAAGAAGAACGAAAAGAAAGAAAGACCGAGAATAGTTCATACATTCTGTCATGTGTGTGTGTCTCACCCTGAGTTAAATGGAGTGAAAGCCAAGCTGAGTCATGCGTTGTTTGTGTCATGTCCAGACTTTGATGAATGATTTGGCTATGGTGATAAATAGTTGGATATTGAAAAAGATCAATGATAGAAAACGAATTTGAACGTAATTGAAAGTGAGCTTTATATCGATGAAAGAGTTGCATCACGAGTAGAGAATGAGCACCGAGCGTGAAAAGATTTGTATTGATCGAAATGCGTTTTTGTTGAAATATATTGCAGCAAATATTATGAATAATGGTTTCTATTTCATTACTTGGTAGTTTGAATTCAACTTCGCCAGGAACAGATGATAAGGAAAACTGAGGTATAGGAAGACTCTTTCGATCAATTTTTCCGTTTGCATTCAATGGTAATTTATCAAGAACTATAAAATATGATGGAATCATGTGTGATGGAAGATGTGCTTGACAGTGATCACGGAGTCTTGCTTCATTAACAGATAAACTTTGAATGTATGCAATAAGATGATCATCAGTCCATTTCGTGACAATACAAGCTGAAATCGATGAAATCAATAAAAGACAGTGTTCTATTTCTCCCAACTCAATACGTTGGCCATGCAGTTTGACTTGATGGTCCTTTCTTCCTCGATAATAAATAAAACCGTTGTGATCAAGATGCGCAAGGTCTCCTGTTCGATAGAATAATTCATTATCAATGAAGATTAGTGCTTTCGAAGTTAAATCATCACGATGAAGATATCCAAGAAAAACACCAGTGCCGCCAACAATTAATTCTCCTTCTTCATTAATGGCAGCTGGTTGATGGAATTCGTCTAAGATCAAACATCGATATCCGGGAAGAGGTAGGCCAATCGGAACACTTTTGTAGTCTTCGATAAGATTAACAGCATGCCATGTACAAGCAATAGTTGTTTCGGCTGGACCGTAAAGATTCAGTACAACAAGTTGAGACATATCAAATTTTCTCAAAATATCAACTAAGTTGGTAGAGAACGGTTCACCTAGAGGAAATAACAATATGATGTACTTTGAAGAGCAACTTTTTCTGAATGCGTTAGTTACCAATGCTACATAATGTTCGGATATAAAAGTAATCTTCCATGGTATCCGTCTGCTGCACATAAGCGAAAAAGCTATAGAGCAAACTGGGTACTGTATGCATATATGAGATTTGTTTTGCATGTAAAACAACGTTCAGATAATGAAAATCCAACGTTCCATGCGGATGAAGCATCACTAAAGTTGCCCCAACGATCAGTAAGCCTAGTATTTCTTGCACATGAATGTCAAACGAACATCGCGCCATTTGGATGGCAGTGTCATTATTATTGAACGAATTGATCTGAGTTAATGATTTTATACACTCGATAAAATTCTTTTGAGAAACTTTGGCCTAGAAAGAAGATACTAGAGATTTATATTTACATAGAGACAATGACAACGAACTGCTTTTGGTATTCCTGTTGATCCACTTGTAAAGATAACATAAGCTATATCGTCTGGCTTGACACCTATTTCCGATAATGAATCAAAATTCTCGTGATTTTCAACGTGAGCATTGCCTAGTAAGAGTGTCTCAATATCTAATAAAGCAGTGTTCTTATCAAAGTTGTCCTTCGTCAACCAATGAACAAGAACAATGCGACTTGCTGTTTGTTTTGCAAGGGATTGTAGGCGACGAGGAGGATCTCGAGGCGACAAGGGGCAGTAAGCAACACCCACCATCTCTAGTGCTATTAAACCGATTACCTGCAATTGACGAAATAGTTCCAGTTTACGCATACATTTCTTTAATTATTTATTTGATATGCTTACCATTGTGATACTTCGTTCGACACATTGACAAACAATATCACCTACAACAACTGATTTATGATTAGTCAGATGTAATGATGCGACTTGAGCAGAATGTAACAATTCAGTGTATGTCAACGACTGTTCATCTAGTTCAACTGCTATTTTTTGCGGATGCTTCATCACTTGGTTGGCAAATATCTGATGAATACAAAGCTGAGTGAGAGTAGAAGACGGCAAGATTTGTGTGTTTTCCAATGATTGAAGAATAAGCTGTTCATAAGGCATCGCTAATGGTAACTCACAGACGGGTATGTCGAGCCGATGAGCATCATCTGATGAAAATAAATTACTCAGCATGAAGTGAAATCGTTGTGTTATCATTTGAATCGTTTCATGAGTGAATAAGTCAAGCGATGCATTGATTGTGCATGACAATTTATTTGTCATTGGATTATGTATAAAACTGCCAATGAAATCCAATTCATTTATTGTTTCATTTTCTTTTGTATGAGTTGATAAAGGCATGAGTGAAAGTCGGCTATCGCCGACTATGATCTCACTTCCGTGCTTATTTTTGACAGAACAATTCAGAAATTCGAATGATGTATGAAGAAATGCAAAATGTGATATATGAGAATGTTGCTTGAGAATGTGCTGAAGTGGATAATATGAATACTTAATTGAATCCATTGCCGTCTTATACACATGATGAGCGAGTTGAATGAATGACCAATGAGCATGAAGTTGACATCGAAGAGGAATAATATTGCCAAACAATCCAATGATTGAGTTGAGTTCAGGTCGATATCGACCATGTGTATCAATGGCAATGCAGAGCTCATTTTGTCTATTGGTGATTTTCAAGAGAAAGAGGAAATAGAGCGAAAGAATGAGGTGTTCGAGTGGAATATTTTCCCCTGAAGCATAGGTGCAAATCTCATGCGCAAGATATGGATCAAAGTCGAAAGTGAAAGATATTGCATGATCCGTTCGCTGCTGATTGGAAAGGCGATATCGATCATAAGGTAATGCCAGAGGTTGATCCAGTTGACAATTATGAAGCGAATCAAGCCAAAAGAATCTTGCGCCACTCATTGGCATTTGCTGCTCAATGACAGCATCTATACAAGGAGCAACGAGAGAAATAAATAAGAGAATAACAGAATGATACTTACAATCAAGATAACGAAAAGTAGTTTCATGGTTTTCATCACGCAAATATGATTGACTTTCAGCATATGCTTGGTTGAGATCATGTAAAAAGATATCCAACGATTGCAAATCAAAGAAAGCTTTATGAAAATGGAAAATGAGAAGATCTTTGTCTGACAGGAGCTCGTCATTGTCAGCTGGAGTATGTTGATAACAAATAAGGTGGCATCGAAAAACAAGACCTCGAGCTAAATCGAATAATTGCGGATTATTGTTTGCGCTGACGATGACCTCTAGCAGTTGTTGATCGTTTTCATAAGAACTTACGATGAATGGGAAGTGCATTTGGTTGTTTCGATCATCGAGCGCAGTGATATGTTGCATAAGTTGCTGTTTTTCAGAGTGGAAGAAGAGTGCTGTATGAAGTGATGGATGCTTTTGAATCATGAGTTGAAGTGCAAGAGAAAGTTTTTGTCTCGAAAGAGTGTGCTGTTGGTGCAAACGATAAACAAATGACATGTTATAGATAGGTACTTGTGAATTGCCGATAGCTGATTTTGTGCACTCTGTAAGCCATAGACGTGTTTGAGTGTAGGATGCGGGTCCTGTGTACGAAAAGAGTTTGTGGTATATAGTTGTTTGGCGTACAATTGTATCACCAGTAATGGTGCCTAAGGGTTGTTGTATGGAACCGAGAGAAATAATATAGGTGTTTTTCTAAAAGATGTGTGATGGTGGCGCAGAGGTGCGACGGTGGTGGCTACGCATCCCACGGCAGCACACAAATAATGGGACTAAAGAAATAAGGGCGCATTAACGGGAAGCGTATGATCCTTTAAACAAGCTTCTCGAAAATTATTCTAATATTTAGGATTTGCCGTTGTGAACGAGCTGATTACTCTGTATAAAATCATTCTAGGTTTGCATCTAGTTTGGTCGAGAAACGTCGAAAAAGTATTTAATTTAGGCGCTTGTTTATAGTTTTCTCTGTATTTAATGCCCATTATTCAGCCGAAACTCACGTCCCTACATACATATATATTCTGAAAGGCCGAGTTCCATTCTACTGAACCATATGTAAATGAAATGCTTAAAGGATCCCCAAAAAAGAGCCATCTTCTGCGAAAAGATTTCAGAATTTCTATTGAAAAACCATGTTCTTTAGTGGAAAATCCAAAATCGTTTTCGCTTTTTTCAGCTTGCGTTTTCTTATTGTCTTTGCAAGATTGCTCGGTATAGATCCATGGTATACTTTTCTGTTTTTTTGTTGGATAGAGCATGTCAAGATGCAGGGCGATACAAAGTTCTTTTTTTGAAATCAACGTTTGTTTTCTATTCAAGCATTCACCTGTTGGACACCCGTTTACTAGGTTATTGAACTTCTGATGCCTTTTTTCATTGAAAAAGCAAAGATTTTAAAAAGGACTCCGAAGTGCCCTGTATTCTGAGATGCTCTTTCCAACAAAAAGAAGGGGGAAAAGTATCACGCCTTGGAACCAAGAAATCTTGGAATCAAAATGACCGATTTTATATTCCTGTTTGTTTCATATATCTGGAAAACAAAGAGATATCGACCTGAAATTTTTACCACTGGCTCCGCACTCAAGCCCTAGCGTATGCTACAAGTTTCAGCTTATTTGAAGTTTCCTGAGCCAAGTTTGACTTTTGAGTGGGGCGGGGGAAGGGAGCGGGAAGCTTAATCTTGATAGCTGAACCTTGTTACGATGCAAACCTTCATTAAGTTTGCTCCCAAAGCGGGTTACTACCGGATTCGAATGAATGGTGCTATAATGGGTCCTATAGAGCGTCACTTGCTCTATCTTCTGATATATTCGGAAGATCGGCTAGTTACAATTATGAACAGTTAGCAAATCTGAGGGCATACATGATAGTTTGCGACCTAATTTAGAATTTAGGTATGTATGGGCGTTGGCGATGATGAGGTGCACAATTCAAATCCATACTCCATATCAATCAGGCTCAATCATGATTCTGAATAATCGCGGTAAACTTGGAACGTTTCTCATGAACTTGTCCAAACCTTTTTAAACGAAAAGTAGTCAAATAAATACTGGTCTTACAGAAAGAGTGGTCAAAAGAAACCCGTGGGAGTGTTATCAATAGCCGGTACAAGTCGACGACCGTTACAGAATTGATTCCTGATAGGTGTTTAACAATAATATGATATGAGATCATGATTATTAACGTCTACATGGTGCTTTTTCTTATTTTTATCAACGCTAAATTGAAGATATTATTCATAGTAGTTCAGTATTCTTCGATCATAAGAGAGTAATTGTCTTGAAGAATAACCATTACAATTTGTTACAATATTATTTTGCTTATGTAAGAAGATAGATAGTACAAATAGTATACAAGTCGTTTTACAATCTACCGTGATGTATAGCACAGTAGTTAGACCAATACTCAAGATAAGTACGAACAACTTCCTGAGAAAGGACCTATAAAGGAGGGGGTGCTTAACAGCTGAAACCCCCCCCCCCCCCCCTCAAAACTATCCCGAATTCACTGAAACCCGTCTAACTCAACCCATTGAATTCAAAATGAACGGATTAAGCACTCATTAAAGATCAATATCCATAGGTATCGCTTAGTTTCTTAGCTGGTAAATGCATGCTTTTCACCCTGCGTCGATCCTATCGTTAGGAGAAAATGATGCAGGTCCACTCTGGAAACTATATAGATCGATGCAACTCATTGAGACCTACAAAATTATCTAGTTTCCTCTTTTGAAAAAGTTGTTCTATGCATTAAAATCCAGTCGTATGTTGTTTCAAAGCCTGTTTTCCATAGTTGTGATCGCCATTTTTTTACTAAATTTCACCAAAAAAATGGTACTTTTCTTAAAATACACCTCACATTTGGAATCAGCGCTAAAAACTAAGTGAACCAGTATATATTTGATGTTGTCGCTGTAACTTTCCTTCTCGGTCAGCATCCTACTCTGGGGCCCCCTCAGCGGACTAGGAAAAACGATCGTCGTTGAAATCCAATGGAAACTACATGAAATCCAGCTTAGGATCGTCACATTCGTTTACCAGAAAGAATAATTGATATAGATATAANGCTTTCGAAGTTAAATCATCACGATGAAGATATCCAAGAAAAACACCAGTGCCGCCAACAATTAATTCTCCTTCTTCATTAATGGCAGCTGGTTGATGGAATTCGTCTAAGATCAAACATCGATATCCGGGAAGAGGTAGGCCAATCGGAACACTTTTGTAGTCTTCGATAAGATTAACAGCATGCCATGTACAAGCAATAGTTGTTTCGGCTGGACCGTACGAATTCCAAATGGTACAGAGTGAGCTATGTAGTCTCTTGAAGATATTCAATAGCTTTGTGGGAAAAGGTTCACCTACAATGGATGATAGTATGGTAGTGTTACGTATTTTAGCACTTTCAGGTAAATTCATTCTAACGAGAATTGTAGAAAAGAATGTTACGGACTTCAAATTTGGCCGTCACAAAGGAGATATTAGGTTGTTTAAAAACTTCGTGCAACTCTTATTTTGCTGCAAGCGCGAAACATTGTTTCTTCCGTTGAATAGAGCTTCCATTTTGAGAATGGTATATCAGCGTTGACCTAACTACTTCATTGCCTTCTTCGAGGAAAAAAAGGATGCTTTAAGGATTGGATAGGTTCATGTACCAGATGTCATACTCCGAAGTGAATTATCAACGAGCTGTATGTTTCAGAAATTGCATTTATACTGTTGTAGAGCTGATCCAAGGCTATAAGGTGCGCTATTTTTATTTGAATTTGCAGTGAGTTAAGAATAAAAAATCCCAGCTTTACTACGATGCGCTACGAAGTCTTGAAATCTTCAAAATCAAATGCGCATTTGTTTCCAAAATCTCTGCACACCGCTCCGAAATCTGCCGCGATCGCTCCAAAAACTCATCCACACATAGATTGTTCGCTACTGTTCCTACAGATCGTGTCGGAATTTCGAATTTCTATTATCAAATGTAGAAGGTTGTTTAGACGATCTCCGGAACACCTTCGACACTTCTTCTGGCAGACTCGAAAATTTGAAACTAACAAATTTCCATTCTGATCATTACAGATTGTGCGCCATACGAAATTGTACCTATCCTATAATTCTCACTTTCCGATCCTATCTAAGTAATGATATGCATAGATAGTAAAGTATTGGCATCAGCACCATATTTGAAAATGGTACATTTTTTGTTAAAACATCTTTTTTTCTTCAAAAAGGCAATGAGGTAGTTAAGTCAACACTGGTATATCATCCTGAAATGGACGCTCTATTCAACGGAAGAAACCATATGTTTCGCGCTTGAGCAAAACAGTAGTTGCACGAACTTTTTTGACAACCTTATAGCAGAGATATGCAAATTCAAATACAATTTGTACTCTGAATTTATTAGGAAATATTTTGATCTCTCAATACTGTATCTCATAAATTTTTGGTAAAATTCACTCTACTGTACTGACTGTACTTTATGTTCCAAAAACCTAGAATCGGTTGGCTTGTACTGGCATGTATTGACCTAACTTTGTGTGTAAATCATCTGAAATCGATTACTGCTCAGCTAGATATAGTTGCTTCGTCTCCTAACTGTTTGCACTACGCTGTGTCAGAGAAAACCTCAAAAGTATGTCTTTCTGATCTTTCTTCGCATAGCATATCACATCGAGACGCTTGGAACAACTAGAGGATTTGAAATAAGCACCTTAAGCACCCACGTTTCTCCACCTTGCTCGTTCCTTCATGCGAATACCGTTGATGATGGACTCTCAGGCAACATTAAGATACTTTCGCTTTTTCTTGTATGCCGTAGTTTTGACTCTAATGACCTTGTTCCAGAGAAAAAAATTCGGCTGACAGTTCGCAATAACTTCGGTGAAAATTCAGAGCCGTATTCGAATTACCAGAAGCCTTGAACTCTGAGGTCAACTTTCTGATTAGCATAATGCTTGCTCTCGAAAGTAAATAGTGCATATCAATTCGATCATAGAAAGTTATATATTCAATATAGATACTGTTTGTTGCTTCGAATCTTCTGTTTCCACACCCAAGATCTTAACTGCAGACAAATGTGGTCTGGCTCTCACTACATATCAGTAACAAATAACCGATTCCATATTTTCCACAGTCAAAGCAGGGTCAGTACATGACAGTACATTACAATACATTACAATACATGAGAGTACAAGCGAGCCGATGTTAGGTTTTTGGGACATAGAGAAGGGATAGTACATGACAATACATGTCAGTATAAGCTATACTGTCTTAGTTATGCCATATTGAATGTAGGAGCTAAAGATGGCCGAGGATACCTTTATTAATAGAAGAAATCAGAGCACAAAATGTACTAATATTCGCACAGACCTCCCTAATAGTGAACATGACAGAAAATCTAGAAACTCTTCATTATATCCATTATGTTGGAGATTTCAAAAACATTCACTAGATTCAACGGAAAATAATACTTTGTTATGCGTCTCGTTCAACCGATGTCGAAATAGGTTAAAAAAGCGTTAGATAATATATGTATTATACCATTCATCTGAATTTCATTTTCAAACGAAAATCATAAGTTTATTTTCTGAGTAAGCGTGTTTTGATGCTCGGTAAAGCTAACAACTACACATTAGAAGTAGATATGACACAAGAAATAGAAGTATTTTGTTACTGAATAGGCTGCAAGTATGCATTTGAAATTTAGGCAAGTGTTTGATCCTCAAACGCCCATCTCAGATCTGCACGGTCCCCAACTAGTTTTATTCTAGTGTTTTACATATACGGTCGCAGATTATACTACACCACTCAATGTATGCTCTAGTGAAGACTAGTGTAGCATATCATAGAAAGCATTCACTTATCTTCTTTATCTGTCTGTGATACTAGTAATGTGACGCAGTAGCTGCTGATCCGCTACTGAAAGGATATCATCAGATTCGTTATCCTTCTTCAAGAGAAGGACATCAAAACCATTTCATTTAAATGATCCAATCGTTCGATAGTTGATCTCAGGCTTTTCCTTACACTCAGTTTGCTTTCTAAAATCTTGTCAAACTGAATCCCAGTCGTCCGTCAGCCACTCACGGCCAGCTGTTGGTATATAATCAATTTCACTATACTTTCACATTTAAAGTACCTCGTTTAAACTGAGTCGACATGTAACCGAATTTATTGAAACTCAACTTAAATGTACGATCTACAACACGTGTTTTATTGTTCTCTTCAACTTAAGAGTCTGTTAACGCGTACAGATTATTCTCGAATTTCGAAGAGACATTAGTTCTGTTCCTGCGAAAAAGCATTGACACTGCCTGAGGCTCTAGTAAATCTAATCATTCATATAACTTCGAAAATAAATGTCTAAGCGTTCGTGGATCTCTCTCCGGTCCAGAGCTGGGCAACTCAACTCAATTCAATTTAGAGTTGAAAGGAATTGAGTTGAATTGCCCTGCTCTGCTCCGGTCGGTCACTCACGGCTAGCCGTTGCTATGGTTACCTCCGTTATACTTTTTATTATTGATTAACTTTTAAACGGAATAACTACGTTTCTTTTTATTCTCCCTCACAAAGTGCTAATATTCCATTCATATCATTATCAAGAGAAGCCAGTTAAAAAGTTTTGTTTTTGTTAGCGTTTGTGTGGTTCACACAACGTTAAACTAGAGTTCAAGACGATCCTTCTAGTTTAATTGGCTTAGGACATCTGCCCGGATAGCAGAAGGTGTGGGTTTGAGTCCTACGAAGGCCACTTTTTCTTCGTTCTTCTTTCCTTTGGCTGTTGTTCCTTTCATGGCTCGAATAGGAAGATAACAATTTTATAATTTAATTTGCGAAAACAGTGTTAATAATATCGATGCGTATGTTTAGGATATTATCTGTATAGTCGTTGTCGCTGTGCCTGGGGCGACGGGGTTGC